GACCTAATCGACTACGTCATCGCGAACCACCGCTGGGCCGATAGTGAAGTCGACAAAGGGTTCGTCCAAGGGATTGCTGCATGGCTGATGCGTCGTCACGCCCCCCCCCCCCCCCGGCGATCCCACGCAGATACATCACTGCGTTGAAGGGCCTTCGCGACGACGAGACCATCGTCATCACCCAGGCTGTTATAGGTGGGGGTATTGTTGTCATAGATAAAAAGGAATATATACTTAAAATGAACAATTTACTTTACATCATTGTAGTTATTATTTTCATTATTATTATTGTTATTATCATTATTAATATCATTATTATTATCATTATTATTATTATTATCATTATTATTATTATTATCATTATTACTATCATTATTATTATTATTATTATTATTATTATTATCATTATTATACTGCGATGGCTGGGACATGTTATTAGGAGAGACGAGGGGTACGTTGGACAGATGGTGAGGAGGATGGAAGTGGGCCAGCGGAGGAGAGGAAGACCAAAGAGGAGATGGAAACACTGCGTAGGTGAGGACATGGAGGCTGTGAGAGTGATGGAGGAGGATGGAAGTGATGGAAGAAGATGATCTGCACCGACGACCCCACCCCACCCTACAGAAGAAGAAGATTATCATTATTATTATTACTATTATCATTATTATTATTATTATGATCATCATCATCATTATTATTTTTATCAATGTCATTATCATTATCGTCAACAGAATCATCATCCTTGTCATTATCATTATTATTATTATTACTATTGTTATTATTATCATTGTTATTATCCCTCTTATTATTATTAATATTGATATTGTTATCATCATCATTATTGTTATTTACATTTTCATTATTCTCATTTTTATAGATAGATAGATAGATAGATAAACGTTTATCTATCTAAATAACTATCTATCTATCTATATATATATATATATATATATATATATATATATATATATATATACATATATATATATATATATATATATATATATATATATATATATATATATATATATACATACATACATACATATATATATATATATATATATATATATATATATATATATATATATATATATATATGTATATATATCTTTCTGGGCCACTGTAGTGACCTGGATTGCAGCCTGCACGTCAGATGATGACTATCATGCGGCATCCGAAGGTTTGGCGACACCGAGATATTTAAGGATGCCTGGAGCCGTATATAGAGAGACTGGGCTTGACCTCCCCGTAGACCGGCTTCTTCACTTGAAGGGCTCACGCAATTGCTCCTTGCTGGGCTTCCGCCGCTCGGTCTTCCTCTCCTATTATATATATATATATATATATATATATATATATATATATATATATATATATATATATATATATATATATATATATATATATATATATATATAAATATATATATATATATATTGTGTGCTGTGTGGTGCAGCGGTAGCGATCTCGTCTAGCAATCTTGCTGACCTGCGTTCGAATCCCTCGCCACCAGTGGATGGTAACCCCGGCCATTCCTT